TGTAAAATTTGCCTTATTCCACTTCTCCTGATTTTTAAGTTTATAGATCTTCTTTATTTTCTTAAAATGTTTAATGCCTGTCTTTAAATTTTGTTTTAACAGAGTCTAAAATGACTCTGTGTCAGTATCATTCTCCAGAACAAAAGCAGGGCCCTCCCACGCTGGGGGTGAGGATGATCTGTTCCCCCTCCTCTCATCTTTTGCAGTTGTTATTGTCTAGAATTGTGCCATCCAATATGGCAGCCATTAACTGCATGAGTCTATTAGCCAATGAGAAAGAATGAGCTGAATTTTTAAAATTTTAGTTTTAATCAATTTAAATTTAAGAACTGGTATTAGATTCAGTTATGGAAAATTTTAAATATGTTTGCAACAACCTGGATATGTGAAACTACTATAAACTTTATGATCTCTAACATATTTAGAGGGTCAGGTACTCCTGGTGAAAACTTAACATTTGAATGGAGGTGTGCTGTAAGTGTAAAATACATGCCAGGTTTTGAAGATTTAGTGCCAAGAAGATTTGTGAAATATCTCATTAATAATTTGGATATTGATAACATGTTGAAATGATAAAACTTTAGATATGTTCAGTCAAATAAAATATATTATTACAATTAATTTCACCCATGCCTTTTAACTTTCTTCATGTGGCTGTTAGAAAATCTAAAATTACGTGTTATAATTCTATAGGGCAGCACTAATCTAGGATTTCTACTGAAATATTTTTAAACACACAAAAAATACATATTAGTATCTACAGGTAATAATTAGATTTGCCAATATCTTTTATACATTTTTTCTTACATATTTTCCTTCCATCTTAATTCACTTTTCTTATCGCTGAATTTGATTATTTAGTTCTGGATCCTTGTTGAAAGAAAGGCTCTGTTGGTAGTAAACTCTCTTAGTATTTGTATTCTGACATGTCTTGATTTTGCCTTCACTCTAGAATGATAGCTGGGTGCAGGATTCTAGGCTGACAGTTTTCCTCAACTCCTTGAACATTGCTCCTCAACTCCTTGAACATTGCTTTGTAGTTTCTTATAATTTATAGATGCTTGAGAAGTAATTCTTTGAAACTAATTCATCTTTTAATTCTGATAACTTTTAAAGATTTTTCTCATTTTCCTTGACCTTCTGTAGTTTTATTATGTCTCATTGTATTTGTTTGCTTTGTTTTGTTTCCAGTTTGTTCCTTGGTGTGAGTTTTCCATCTGGAGACTCATGACTTCAGTTTAGGAAAGCTCTCACCCATTATGCCTTTGTTAGTATCTCTGCTCTCTGCTTCTGAATGTCTATGAGATACGGGTGGAACCTCGCAGTTAGCCACCATGTCTCCTGACCTCTCTTTCATATTATCTCTTTATTGCTCTTTCCTACATTCTGGGCTAATTCCTCAGCAGTCCGTGACAATTCATTATGTCTTCTACTGTCCCTGGTCTAGAGTTTATGTTTTGAGGTTTTTTATTTCAATGAGCCTACTTTAATTTTCAGAACTTGTTATTTTAAAAAGTTCAACTACCTGTTGATTTTGGCCAAATTTCATGCTCTTGGCTGATTTGGGGTCTCCACTGGGTCACCAGGTGTTCAGTGATCCACCTGCCTGCCAACTTGCCCTCATATCATCTCTCAGTGGTGCTTCTGACTCCCCCAGAATCCCTGCTCTGCCTTCCATCAGGCCACCACGTGTGTCCCCCACCCCTTGCTGGCTCTCAGCTCGGTCCCCATCTACTTGGGTGCTGAAGGAGCCTCAGATATGTGAATGAGATCTTTTTGTTAGACCATGGTTCTCTGCCCTTTTGACCATTGTGGGTTCCAACTGGATTAGCATAAGCCTACCCTGTCTGGGGGAGTGGGGCAAGACCCCTCTGCCTTGGAATTCCCCACATCCCGTCTAACTCACTTACCTTCCCGTCAGCCCACAAGGTGGTTGAAGTACATCTGAGATCATCTATGTACACCCCCAAGCCTCATTTCTCCCTTTTCTTTGTTTTTATTCCTCAAGATCCCTTGGGACAAAACCTTCGGGCTTCTCTTTTAATCCCTTCATACCATGATCTCCTGCTCTCTCCAGCCTCATGGCTAAGTGTTAACGGTGGACAGAGTGTGTGATAAGACAGCCGGAAACGGTAGGTCTTTCCGAAATCGTGTACCTGTTACTTTGTGTAACAAAAACAGACGACAAGGTTGCAGGGACTCTGGTTGTAAGGAAATGTGCTCAACCTCAAGGCCCTGTTCAATATGATATATCATATTTGATAATTCAGGAGACTTATATATTTTGTTGTATAACATCTGTATAGAGATTCAGTCTGAAATGCTCTCCCCAACATCTGGCTTGAACGTAAACATGACCCTCTGAGTTAGATGTCATTATCATCTATCAGATGAAGAGACTGAGCCACAGTGATGAACTCACTGCCCCAGATCACACATCTCCTAGGTAGAGAGCCACGACTGAAGCCAGTGTCTTGACCTGCATGTGTGCCACAGTACCCCACTGATCCCAGGGTGAAGGTCACTTGGGTCGTTCCTGACTTGCAATTTTCTATGTGCCTGTTCATAGAATGCTCTTATGGAGAGGTTGAGCTTTGCTGGAGTTGTATCTCTTCCCCTCTCCAGTCTTAGGTTCATTCGTTCATGCATCTGAAAGTATTAACATTTTCAGTTACACCTGCTTTTTTGGTGGGGTCTTTCCAAGTTTCTCTTTCTCAATAATTTGCATCCAATACAAACACTGTTAGGTCAGTGTTTAGAGAGTGATCTTTCAGTCATATTGCTGTCACAAATCCACTGCCTAGAAGAATATTGAACATAATGTCACTAGCATCAGTTTAAGCAAATTTTTAATGTCATGTAACATCAGTAGTAGCTGTGCGGTGCTTCTTTAAAAGCCTATCAGTTACAGCTGGAGGGTACCCCAGATTGAATCTACTGAGTGGCCTGATAAGTGAGAATGAGAGCCCAGCACTTTAGACAACAGAGGATCTGGTTTGTGGCCAGAAGGGTCAAGTTTGTAACCGTGGAAATGAGCAAAGCCAAATGGCTCACCTAGGGATTCGATTTTCTAAGATTTTTCTGTCTCTAACTCAGCTGGCTGATATAGCATGAGATCTGTGAGCCAGACATTCTTTGCAAGAGAGTGGGGACAGAAAAGAGAAGTTCTGGGACTCCACCCCGTGCCCCCCCCCCCCACACCCCACACCAGTCCAGTGGTTAAGACTCTGAGCTTCCACTGCAGGGGGCATGGGTTTGATCTCTGGCTGGGGAACTAGGATCCTGCATGCCACGCAGCATGGCCAAAAAATAATAAATAAATAAATAGAAATTTGCACCAAGAATTTAACACAATTAAAAAAAAAAAGAAAGAAAAGAGAAGCTTTGTTTTCCTTGATTATAGAGAAGATTCCATGGATGAGGGAAAAATAATTGGTTGATTTGGGAAACAGGAGAGAGCTCCATGGATCTGGGAGGTTCTGAAGAGAGATGAATCGGTAGACGGTGGGTAACAGTGGGTAACAGGCAGCCCCAGGGAAGGAGAGAAGGTTTACTTTGTCTTGAAGAAAAGCTTTTGTCTTTCTCAAAGTCTTTATCTACTTCTGACCTATGTTTTACATATTACTTTATAATCTAAGTGTTTATTTTCTTTGGCTGTGCTGTGCGACTTGTGGGATCTTAGTTCCCTGACCAGGGATCGAACCCGGGCCCTTGGCAGTGAAAGCACAGAGTCCTAACCACTGGACCACCAGGGATTTACCTATAATCTAAGTGTTTAAATTTAACCTTAACTTTATGTGGACTTTCCATGTATTCACATAGCCTAACTATTTTTAATCGCATTGCGTTAGTAATTACATCATTTATTTAAATATTTCTCTGTTATTTACTGATCATGTGAGTTGTTTCTAGTTATTTCATATTAGAAACAGTACAAACAAAACCGTATTTTTACGAAGTCTCTTTCTTTGAGTCTTCGTGCCAAAATTGGAATTACTGGGTCATTATATGATTAGTCCTAAGTGTCTTTTTCATATTGCCAGGATGTTCTCTGAAAATATTATATTAATTTACAGTGTCACCAACCCCAGCAAACAGTGGGTTTTAGGAGCTTTGAATGTTTCTCTCATTTTATCAGATGAGGCGTTACAGCATAGCTGCTTTATTTTCCTAAGCCAAACATTTGTGCCAAATGTCATTTGCTCTTTGTATGTTTTCACCCTGGGAACTCCGTTCCTATCTTGTGTTAAATAGTTTTAATTTTCTAATTAGTTGAATAGTTTTTATGTTATTTATTGTCTTTATCCAATAAAAATATATTGGGATAATTGATATGTCTCATAAATGTAAGTGTATTTCCCCCGTTGGGAGTCAGGTTTGAGCTGTCGCGAGAGTGGGAGGGTGCCTTCCCGCCCCCCCCCCGCCCCCCGCCCGGGGCGGGGATGGATCAAAATCAGGAAAGAAATCGGCTGGCGTGGCCGGGCGCTGGGCCATCCTACCGAGGCTGGGAGTGTGGGAGAGAGCCTGGAGCTGACGATGGAAAAATAGGAACTCACGATAAATGTATCAAGTCGTATCAAGAAATGGACTAGAAATCAAAGCTAGGCGAGTATGGGGTGAAAGTACGCTTTTGCGCTTGGCTTAGGTTTTCCCTGCTCTCACCTTAGGGAAACAAAGTGACTGGAACATGTGTTGGGTCCCAGGCACCCCTGCTGCCGACTACTGGGTCGCTGTTCTTTACCGGGCAGCAAGAGATCAATGAAAATTCCTTAGAGTGAATGTGCATTGAGAACAGGGGCTCAGATCAGTTCTTGCAATACTTCCTGGTATAATCTTAGAGCAGTTATGCAGATAAATGCAGTGTGTGTGTGTGTGTGTGTGTGTGTGAAACATATCCTCTTACAAACTTATTTTTCCCTGCAGAATATCATTGGCTTATGTGGTCTTTTAATATGCATTTTCCAATTTAAATACAATTCACCGAAATTCTTTCTTTCTAGTCTCCAGAAAATCCAGAGGGCAAGGATGGTTCCAAAGTAACTAAACAGGAGGTAAGTGTATCTTTGACATCCTGTATTTAATTATTAACTGGAATTTTTAATATCGTTATGATGGTCTACATCTGAATGAATACCCTTCGAAACCAGATTGTTGAGACGACATAAACCGGAGATAAAAGTGTGGCTGTGTAGCCTCCCTTAGCCTGGATAGATTTCAGTTAGGGGCACTCATGAGGCATTTTCCACTTGCTATGTTGTTTATGTTTCTACCTGTTGGCGCTGCTGTCTGTTAAAAGGGATACTGAGAATTCCTTCTGGGCAAGGAGCGAGATAATAGGTAAATTCATCAAGGAGAACAAAGTCGGCCTTTCACAGCAAGGAAATGAAAGACTTGATTTAGTAAATTCTCTGCTCCGGTGAGTGAACTATAGATTACTTTTTGGGTTCTGAATATTTGCCTAAAAGGAGTCATCTCTAAAGTCAAAAATTATGAAGGATACATAAAATGTCAAAATATTAAATTTTTTTTTTTAATCAGGAAAATTCTTAGGGTTTGGGATAGTTAGACAATAAGTCAAAGAAGCTCTGTATAAAATACAGAAATCTCCAGAAAGCTAGGAAGAGATGCTTGCATTTGACCTTCCGTGGTCCTATCATGAACTTCTAAAAGGAGATGAGCTAAAAAAGCAGCCAGTGAGATGGTAACTGTGATGACAGCCATTCCCTTTTGCACAGAGCTTTACAGTGTGTGGAATCCTTGAACTTATAACCTAAAAGAGGTCATGGGAGAGACAAAAACAATATCTAGTTACGGATTCTTTGATTGGGTGACTCATACTGTGTTAATAATTCAGAGGTTGTCATGATAACAAAACCCCTACACACTATTTGTACAAGGAAGTTCGTTCTGCCGAATGGAAAATCTTTAACGGAATCTGTAAAGAAATCATTTAAAAGCAAAACAAACAGAACTGCTGATAGCCAAGTCCCCACCATCCATTTACCCAGTATTCAGTGTCTAACATAGAGTTTGGGAGGTGAAGTTGGTGATCCAAAGTCAGGTCACTAAACAAATGCTTAGAACCAACTGAAAAATGTTATCATACCAAAGTTCAAGTGCTTGAACTTTCTTGAAAATGGCAAAATACAATTTGTAGGACAGTTGGCTAAGTGTAATACCCCCTTAATGTTTTTAGATTTGGGCACAGAATGCATTTGGGTTTCTCCTCGGGGACCGCTATTTAAGTTGATTTGACAGTCAGAAAACCTAGAAACCATTACACACAGCAGGTCTTGGGTAGTGAAAACAGCCTTTCCCTCCCTTCCACACTAAAAACCATCAAGCTGGTTGGAATATATGTAAAAGATTTTTGCTTACACACCTGTCTTATGCATATTCTTTTACCCCAGAATTTTTATTACTTATATTTTTACATTATTACTTCTAATATTTTATCTGATTCCATGTGTTACCTTATTGCTAACAAAAGTCTTTCCTAGAAAAGACTCTTTTCCTGTCCGTTAAGCCAACACCAGATTAAAACTTGTGATTTGCCTTCAGGACACCAAGGCAAATTTGTTTGAAAAGGGAAGAGGTCAGTTAGTTAGTGGTGCTTTGGGGTAAGAACTGTCTGACCGTATATTGATTGATTTTTTCCCCCCAGTGAATTGACTGAATTTTCTAGTTATGTCATGAGTGTGCACAGCCTAGGCTACAGCCAATAGATAGCAGTTACAAAGGGGGATCCCCTTTTGAAAATCATCTTCCACTCCATGATATTTGAAGGGCATAGTGCAGAGTATAGTATCCAGACGATAAATGACCAAAACAGTATGCTACAGTCATTACGCTGGGCAGCTTTCAAAGCCCTTTCACCTCCATTGTTTGATCTGATCCTTAAAATCACCCTGGAATGAGGGCAGAGAGCCTTTCAGCATTTTCAGAGAGACATTCCAACCAAAGCAAACAAAAAATGCAGGGAGCGCTTGAATGCACCTGGCTGCACAGATTCCACAGTGAGCAAAAGGAGCAAAAATCTCTGCCTTCATGGAGCTTCCATTGTAGTAGGGGGAAAGAGACAGTAAATAAAAAGTAACTGAAAATTTGCTATGAAGGAAAAGAAAGCAATGAGAGGGAGTAATTTATGTCAGAGAAGCGCTGTTTTGGTCAACACATGGGAGTTATTATCCCCATTTGAAGAGAGCAAACAAGGTACGCAGAGAAATACGTGATTTTCCCCAGGTGTCACAACTTGTAAATTGCAGAATCAGGAAAGACGTCTGCGTCTTCTGACTCAAAATCCCCTATCCTCAAGCCCCTTTTGGGGTCATCATAAAAAGCTGGTCATGGGACTTCCCTGGCGTTCCAGTGGTTAAGACTCCGCACTCCCGATGCAGGGGGCATGAGTTCAATCCCTGGTCGGGGAAGTAAGATCCCGCGTGCCGCGGGACACAGCCAAAAAAAAAAAAAAAAAAAAAATCTGATCATCCAGTGCCTTTTCTCTGTCTTCATTCTCCAGCCAAGGCCCTGATACACATCTTGCCTCACTTCCCAGTTTTGCAAAGAAGGGAAATTCTAATTAGCTCTTCATTTGTTTTTGAAAGTTAAAAGCAACTTGACTTGTGGGCTTTGCTTGGTACATGGTGAAGATCAGAAGCATTAAGAAATCTCATAAAAATAAATATGCTTCTGAATTCCAGTGGAATGGCCCATATGTTTCAAGCAGTATTCAGCAAAGTCCAGTGACTCTACTTGGATCTAGCTCTCCCAGGGAATTTTGTCTTATTGAGATTAGACTTCTATGTTGCTTTTGCAACCAGGACATTAAAGTGAAAGACTTCACGTCTTTCATAGTAGCCTTCACTGTACTTTTCTCCAACCCGGGGAATTACCAGGTAATCAATAAATGCTTACTGAATAATACCATAGTGCCCAGCACCTGTGTACCACAGTGACAAACCCTCACATTGTTTCTGTAACTTTTAGTGATCTGTCATTCTAAAAACCTTCCTCTTTTCCCTTAGAACTGCTCTTTTGGCCACTTTTCCTGAGGACTCACAGTCAACAGATGGAGAGAAATTCTCTCTTTTTTTTAAAAAAATTGAAGCATAGTTGATTTACAGTATTGTGTTAGTTTCAGGTGCATACAAAGTGATTCGGTTATACACATATATGTATATATCTGTATTCTTTTTTGAAATTCATTTCCATTGTAGTTTATTACAAAATATTGAATATAGTTCCCTGTGCGCTACAGTAAATCCTTGTTGTTTCTCAGGAGAAATCTTCTTATCTTTTTTTTCATAGTAGTTCTGCCCCACAGCCTGAGTCTTAAATGAATACTTTGAATTCTAGTGTTTGAAAGAGGGAAAGAGAGCAGTCTGGTCTGTTTTATATCTGGTATATATGGGCCAATCATTTATAGAATTGAAGGCTTGTGAAAGCTGATGAAATGTCCCAGGAAGGTGTATACACTTGGTGCATAATCAGTACTGCTGACTGTGAGTGAAGGTTCGTTTCAGCCTCCTGTGTCTGCAGTGAAAAAGAAAATCTCTTAGGATGGTTCCCGAAAAGGAACGTTTAAGAGAAGTCTCTTTTTTTTTAGCATAGAAAGAAGAGCTGGTAAATTTTAGCAGGAAGTCATAAAATCATTTTACAGTAAAACGTGGTTTTTAGAGACCGCTTGGTTTAGACAGCCTAGAAAGGCAAACTCTGTTTTTACATTAATTTCCTAGACTTTTTATTTTGAAACTCTTGTACTCGACCTGAATTATGAAAAGGTAGCGAGTCTTTTGGATCGGAACAGCTTGCAGGCCCTGCAGAGCAGGGCTTGGTTGGAAGTCTCTCTGGAAATCCCCGGGAGGGGAGGGGGAGGATGGGGGATGGAGACCGGGGTTGGGGGCGGGAGATTTTTCAGAGGATTTGGCTTCGCTTCAATGAGATCTTATTCAGGACAGCTCGTTGGTGGATAGGGAAGCCCTTGTAAGTAATGGTTAACCTGTTGGCCGCTTTTTCGGCTCCAAACTGGATGGTAAGTGAGGAGTGGTCTTGGCATTGCACCCTACAGGCTCACACTTGCATGTCTGGCGTGTCTTACCACTCCATTCACCTCCACGTTTTACTGAGGGCTCCCGCTACAGAAGTGCAAGAGAAGGGGGTTCTGTGCAGATGGGGTACAGACAGGAGACAGGGGAGGGAAGGCCAACCGGGCACACACAGCGCGACACCAAGTGGGGGCGGGGGGATTCAGACAAGACCTGTTGAACCCCCTTTAGCAGAGAGGCCGCCGATTTTCCTCTCAGAGGGCATCTTTCTGAGCCCTCCTCTGCCGGCTGCACTTTCCTCTTGAGGCAGTGTGGGCGGTTCTTGAAGCCACACAGAAGCGTTAAGCTGAGCTCTGGTTGGTAATTGGAGGATGCTCTCCAGCATGCCCGGAAAGCATACTGAAGAAGCACAGGTTACCCACTTGCTGCCCGGTTTAAGTGATAATGCTGCCTCTTCTTCGGGGATACCCAGCACCTGCAATGAACCAGCCTGGGAAAGGCACTACAGGATTTGGGTTCTGGTTCCCAGCATGGTTATTGCTTCCAATCATCCCATGATAATCCAGCAGATGCCGCGGTGATTCCCATGGAGCATCTGGTCCAGGCCCCGCCTCCCATACTGTGCACCCCTTACCCCTGCAGTGACGCGTCACAGCCGACACGTAGCCTGCACAGTCTCCCCGACTCGGCACGTTCTGCCTACCAGCCTGAAGTCCAGCTCAGCTTTGCACACGACCCCAAGGTTAAAATTATTCCAGAGGGCTCTGGCCCTTCATTTCCTTCTGTAGTTTAAAGAAAGATGACTTTAGCTTCCTCTAGCTATTTTCAGCGAGAAAGTTCTTCGATGTGGAGATGGCAAGAAGCATTTCTTTGACTTTGGCCTTGACCAGCTGACCTAGACTGACAAGAGAATTCCATGATTCCTTGCAATCCTGAGCCAGGCTCCTGCTGACCCCCTTAAAAGATTATTTGAGACATTTCAGCTATTGTAATGAGGCAAAGTCTGCCTAAGGCAGCAAATTAGGGAAAAGCTTGAGTTTATTTTTTTCAGCCAGTATTCTTGCATATCCACTGTATGTTAGGTGGTACACTATTCTACTGGAGATAGAGCAGTGAACAAAACAGACAAAGTGTGGAGTATTTGCTTCCGGAACACTTTTAAAGAAAGGCAGTTGTACTTTTAGAAAGTGAAATCCCTCGGGGAGCCATCTTTTGCTTGTGGGAAGTAGAATATCAATTCTATACGCGTGTTTCTGAAATGCCTAGAACGGTTCTGCTCTTAGAAATTTTCTTTGCCATGTCGTTTGCTGTTAACTTGCACCATCCTTGAAGAAAAGATTTCCTTGAAAAATACCAACCTCAACGCAATTTCTCTAAATTTGTAAACTTCTAAATGAAAAGATGAGATTATTAAAATGATTATTTACATCTTTCAACGTGTGCATTTCGTAGATAAATAAATGTGTTTATTTTGTTACAGGCAAAAGGAAGTCTTGCTTGTTAACTGCCTAAGATTTGGAGTCATTCTCTTTTCTAATGTAGTAACCAGGGAGGGGACTCCTGCTATTTCGGTTTCTGCACAATTATATAAGTCTCGTTTAGTATTAATTTATAAGCTTTAGTTCCACTTGTAAGGAACAAGAGTCAGACTGGACTGGTTCTTAAATAGCACCTCTGTGCTCCTTGCCAGTTTTATCACAAAAGTTTGGGTCGGAGCCTAAATGTGTCTTCTTTGCCTTTTCCTTGTCCACCCCACCCTCTACTGCAAAAGGCCATTTCTTTGAACCGTGAGCCTACACCTCTTTAGGAACACGTCCTCTGGAATATTCCAGTGCCCAGGGCACTTGGGGGTATGTTTCACTGTGCTCACCTGGGGAGGGTAACGGGACTCCTGCATTCTATTCTTTCAACAAAGTAAGACAGTAAGAATGAATTTTTAAAACTCAACTTGGTTGTGTATAATCACCAAAACATATGGTTTTTTTTTGTTTTCGTTTCCTTTGTAGCCCACCAGACGGTCTGCCAGGTTGTCAGCGGTGAGTACTTTGGACCCCTTTGTTGTTAGCTCTTATGAATACACGTTCCCTCGGTCCAGAGCAAAGCAGCAAAAGGAAGATGAAGGTGGTGTTTCCCTTGAGCTTTTTTTATTTCCTTTTTAGAAATAACCTGGGTCAGAATTTCTAGCAACTTTGACCGGTGTTGCCAGCAGCTCACTTGATCAGACACGTTGGTGAAAAACAGTGGCCAGTCCGTTTAGCAAGCGTTCAAAGCCCAGGAAGCTGTTTGATATCACTGGATCCCTGAGATGGAGAATTAGGCTAGCAAAGTCCTAGCCTTCCATTCTACACCTGATCTGCTAAAGGAGTCAAGAATTCCAGTTCTCCCTCCATGACTCATACCTTAGTCAGGACGTTCTGAAGGTTGTCTGAATCCATAGGCCCTAGCCTCACTTCAGAACTAGAGAATCTGAAAAAGTAACGATTTCCACTCTGCCACCTGGGGTCTCCCTCTGTGGGCCAGGCCCAGGGAAAGGACAAGGGTTAAGATCGTTAAAGCTGGGACCGGCTGGTGTGAGCGAGCCTTGGCCAGGAGTGTGCCTCAGCCCTTGTCACCATGCTGTGCTCCCGACTGGCTCCAGTACTCATCCCTGCCACCCTGCTCATGCACCAGTACTCCTTCTGCCAAGACAGGGCAGCCTGCCTCTCTGGTGGAGGACTTGGGTTACTTTATGTGCACTGCCCACTGACACACAGAGGGAAAGGCATTGACCTCTTGGCTGACGGCACGTATCCCGATACTAGATAGCCCGGGAGCTGCAAGCTACTGTGACCTTCAGGGAAGCATGGATTCCCTCCTCAGCCCACACCTGTGCCTGGCACAGTGTAGGGAATCCAAGCGGAAATGGATATTGGAAACTTGTTTCTGAATTTCAAAAAAAATACTAGTTTCTGGCTTTTCTTCTCAATATATTTTTGCTAAACTTGTTTCACAAATTAAAATATATATATAGCAGTTTCTGGCTTTTCTTCTCAATATATTTTTGCTAAACTTGTTTCACACATTGAAAGAAAAAAAAAAAAAAGAAGCAGGTATTGGGACCATTCACAAGTTCAGAAGTATAGCCAGGTTTGGGTTGGCTGAGCCAGTGTTTCACATGAGTCCCAACGTAGGAAGAAATGTCAGAGTTACCAGGAAGGTTAAGACGTGGGAGGTGTGGTCGTGTGTGTACCCAGTTAATCCAGATTCTGCCAGAACCCCTCAAAGGTGGTATGCTTGTCCAGTGGTATAATTTTCACTGTGGTTGAGAAGTTAAGTTTTAACTCTTTCACTGTAGATTATACTGAAAGCCATTGTATTCCATGGATATCTAGCCTTTCAAGGGGGTAGATCATGTAAGTCAAAAGCCAAATTTTAAAATAAGGCGTTTCCTGAGCACCAGGGACCAGCAATATAATACCTTCCACTGACATCGTTGCCCATGGTGCTGACGCAGAGCCTCCTTGGAAGCCAGTGGGATTACAGACTACAAAACCTCATCATTTCCTGTCCCATCAAAACACGAATGCTGAGTTTGGGGGAAAGGTCTGTCTTAACAGAAAATAATATGAAAGGACATCATTTGCTGTAAATTGAGAAAACAAGGGCATGTTAATACACTATATCAAAGCCCAAAATAAAATTTTTTTAATCCTGAAAACTTAGGAGCCATGCAAGCTGATAGATGTGGGGAGCAAGGTACAAATATACAGTGGTCAGAAGGTTAAGGAAAATAGTCCCTACTTTTCAAGCTCCACTTTCTTTTTTTTTTTTTGCGGTACACGGGCCTCTCACTGTTGTGGCCTCTCCCGTTCGGAGCACAGGCTCCGGATGCGCAGGCTCAGCCGCCATGGCTCACGGGCCCAGCCGCTCCGCGGCATGTGGGATCTTCCCGGACCGGGGCACGAACCCGTGTCCCCTGCATCGGCAGGCAGACTCTCAGCCACTGAGCCACCAGGGAAGCCCTCCACTTTCTTATTTTATTTGAGAGGTCGTGTCCAATGGTCAATCTTCCAGAACTGAACTGACTACAATTTCAGTTTATGCCCTTGGTGGAAAGGGCCAGGTTCTGTATGATCCTGAACATCTGGAGGTATTGGGGAGGAACATGTGTTTTTTCTCCACGGTGGGTCAGAGAGGGACTCTGGGCAGTGTTCTCTATTAAAAAACCATTCTCCCTGGTGCCAGGAAAGAAGTGTAATTTTTTCCTAACTCAACAAGAGAAATATTTGCCCTAAGGTAGCTGTAGAAAACCAGAGGTTTACACTTCCGCAGTATCTCCATGTGCCCATCTCAGACCCCTAGGAAGCAGCCAGGCTGAAGCCCTGCGTGAAGGGGCCTGGGGCCACGGGACAGGTGGGCAGTGCTCCCAGGAGTGGGGAGAGCCACACGAGGCAAGAGAAAAAGAGTTGCCCGCTTGGCTTTTTGGCTAATAGGGCCTGTGAAAGATCTTGAACTTTGGGAGCTAACAGTGGACATTGTATCATTATAATTGTGTTCTTAATAACAAGCTCTAGGGACAAATGAGCCCAGGGTCTGGATGGGCAGGAGAGTCTCCTCACCTTGAGCTGGCCTTGGAAGAGGAAAGTAGGAAGAAGCTCAACCTTCAACAAGCGCTTGAAACCTGCATCGGAGGTGGGAGGATTTGAAACTGGCTTTGGAACACTTCACGGGCAGCTCTCTTATTCCCAATGGGCTTTTGCCTGTGATGGTGCTAGGATTTCTAGACTGTTCGGGAGGCCGGTGTCACTGAATTCACCGAGTCATTTGGCCAAGGGCCTGAGTCGTTCCTCTTGCTGCTGTGTTGTGATAAAAGGAAGTACAGAGACATGGGACACAGAAGCTTAAATCTGTTCCCAGAGAGCTGTTCTGGCCCGGGGAATAGTGAGTTGGCCTTCAGATCTCACCTGCCATTCACTTGAGAACCCAGGATGAAAATAGTTATGAAATGCGGAGGTCTTTTTGCTGCTACCTGATGCTGAAAATAGGATGACATATTTTTTTTGAAATGAACATCATAGTCAAAATGGACTGTCTTTAGCAGTCTTGTCGCTGTTCCTTTTGGTGCTGAGGGTTGTCTTTTTTCAGTATTTGTGTAACTTAATTTGTCTTTGCAGAAACCAGCTCCACCAAAACCTGAACCTAAACCAAGAAAAACATCTGCTAAGGTAAGAGGTGGTCCCCCGCCCCGCTTTGGCTTTTTCAGCAGTGAATAAATTATAATCCCATATCCCAGAGTCATCCGAGGCACGATCACATTTTATGATCCAAGCTCAATGTACAGACTGGAAAACTTCCCCCAGCTACAGACAGGCTTTCTCCGAAGGCAGAGAGCACAACTTTATGTTTCACTGGGAGTGGTGTGTTTTCCGTTTGGTCTGTAAAGCCAAGGAGGTCAGAGCGTGTTGGTGTGAGAAGCCTCATGTCCAAGGCGGGGTTTGGTAGCTGCCTCGAGAACACGCCGTTCAGATGGGGCTCAGAAGGGGTGAGCCCGGGCCGGGGCGACACTGCTGCCAACAGCTGGAGGCGTGGGGAGGGGCTTCAGACTTCACGTAACTGATCTGAGGAGGTCAGTCTGAGGACTAATAATAATCCTATAATAGTTAATACCAGCAAATAATTAATACCGGCAAACAGTTACATGGTGCTTATCCTATGCATAGATCCTTACGTCGGCCCTACTGAGGTAGGTACACGTATCCCGTTTGGCAGATGAGGAAACTGCGGCACAGGACTATTAAGAAATTTACCCCCAAATGGCTTTTCTGTACCCTGCCCTTCAGAGCGTCATCCCTTGCTGTGAATTTTTTGAAACGATGTGTATGTATCATGGTATGAGTAGGCAGTTCGGAAGCGGAACTCATTTCTGTGGCTTGGTTATTTTTATTTTTTTACTTTTTGGCCGCGCCGCACAGCTTGTGGGATCTTAGTTCCCCGACCAGGGATCGAACCCGTGCCCCCTGCAGTGGAAGCGCAGAGCCTTAACCACTGGACCGCCAGGGAAGTCCCAGCTTGGTCTTAAAATCAGGAATTTTTCTTCCTCTGGGCCTTCCTTTTAAGCGCTTTCTCAGCTTTCTTGTCACTTAAGCCCCAGGTCCCCACACGCAGTGTTCCTCTTGCTGGGTCTGCCCTGGCTTCACCACGTCCCCCCTGCTGCTACTTCCCCACGGCAGAGCCACTTCTCACTTTAGCAAGAGGCGGTGCTCTCCAAAGACACACACGAGGGGAAATCAAAGTCCAGTGGATTTTCTAAGCTGCCTGTTACATGTTCGTGGAGCCTCAGTGGAACTCACTCAAAGCTCAGGGGAACCGGGTTTCCATTTTCCCCTGAAAGCCACCACATTGGCCTTGCTTGTGTTTCCCCCTGTGCTTGGACGGAAGCTGGCTGAGTTTACACAACGTCACACCGTGTCTAACACACTGTTTCCCTGTGCTTTGATCCCCTGTTAGAAAGAACTGGCGACAAAGGTTAACAAAGGTGCGAAAGGGGAGAAGGAGGAAAAGCAAGAAGCTGGAAAGGAAGGTACTGCACCATCTGAAAACGGTGACACTAAAGCTGAAGAGGTACTTTCCCGCAATACCTCCCGCTGATTGAATCAGTGTCTTGAAAGCAATTGCTCGATCCTTCAGCCGGCGACCGCATGTTCATAACGTCTCTCTTTATTGCCTGTAATGTTATTGCAGATCCACATCTCTCGCTCAACTGTTAATGTCTCAGCCTCCAGAGGTACCCCACCCAGCACACTGTCAGTAAAGGGGCAGATTGAAACAGTGAGAGTTAAGGGTACAGTAGAAAATTCCGCACGTTTGCAGTGACTAGCATCAGATAGTGTGGTGTTCTTTTTATCGTGAACCGAGGGAGCTCACAGGTAAAGCTTCCGTGGTCGTTTGCAAGGCAGAAAGCAATAAAGGCAGCCAAGTGTTTGTGTCCTATTTTCCTGCCTTGTCTGTAATACACCCAGAGTTGAAGTCGGTTTTGCAGTAGAGCTGCTAAAAAACAGATGTGCCGAAGTGTGTGTGTCGGTGGGGTAGAATCTTCTTTGGCTTATAGTTGTTTTAATAGTAACTCTGTCTTTTTTGTCTTCCGTTCTTTTTCCACAGGCACAGAAAACTGAATCTGTAAACGAGGGAGAATGAATTGTCATGAAAATTGGGGTTGATTTTATGTACCTCTTGGGACAACTTTTAAAAGCTATTTTTACCGAGTATTTTGTAAATGCTAATTTTTTAGGACTCTACTAGTGGGCATACAAAAATATATAAGGATGGACATTTTACCTTCTCGTAGTCATGCTTTTTGGAAATTTCCATCATCCTTGAGTAAAATAAATACCAATTTAATATGGGAAGCTGTCTGTAAAATTGATTCAGCATTCCATGCACTTGCTTTAAAAATTTAGTCCTGTGCGTACTGTGGTGTTTTTACTGTGCGTATTTGAATTTTTTCATGCAGTTTTTCTAGAGCAATAATCAGTGGTGCTTTTGTACCTAGGTTTTATGTGATTTTAATGAAACATGGATAGTTGTGGCCACCTGCTGACTATTTGTGGTTTAAAATAAAAGGTTTTCCTGCCTGCAAAATACCTGCCTCTTAGTAGTGTCTTTGCTAAATTTAGGCAGTGTTTCATTTTATTATTGCAGAAGATGTAAAGAATTTCTACAGTCTGTTCTGTGATGGTCTCTCTAATAAGTCAAATGGGATTGTTTCTTAATTTTCTGCCCTTTAAAAATGTGATTTTAATAAAATCGTCTATGAGTGCCGGCGTAGAAGAATTACGTCTAATATCCTTTATACCAGAAGTGGCCCGCAGCGGTCACCATATAATAAAACTTAATACAACCCTATTTTATTGAAGTCCTTATCAATAGGATAGCATTCTGCTAAACCGGAACAGTGGAAAACCATAAACTTGGACTCATCCTTGAAAATGTTCCCACCTTCAAAATAATACGAAGTTACACATTCGTATTAAAATATTTTCCCATTGGTTGAGGACTTCACAGTTTTGAAAGCACTTTATACCCATGTGACCACATTTCAGCCTTGTGTCAACATAGGAAAGGACTTGGCCTAGGTATTGTCAGAAAGAAATAGGAGAGTATGTGACTTACTTCAGGCCCACAGGAAAGAGAAAAATCGGGACTTGAACCTGGTCTCGTGAATAGCGTTCCTTAAGTCTGTTTGGGCTGCTATAAACACCAGGCTGGGCATCTTATAAACAGCAGAAATTTCTTGCTCACGGTTCTGGAGGCTGGGAGTCTTGAGATCAGGCGTCAACATAGTCAGGTGAGGACCCTCTTCAGGTCTCAGACTTCTCCCTGTGTCCTCGCGTCGGGGAAGGGGCTGGGGATCTCTGTCTTTTATAAGAGCACTAATGCCATTCATGAGGCTCCAGCCTCATGACTTAAGCTCTTCCCAGAGGCCTCACCTCCTACTACCATCATCGCAGTGTCCTTCTGTTTCTGGAAGGACAGTGGAGCATAGGAGCTGTTTATTAAATGTAATTTTGTTTGTCTGTTCGCATTCCTGAAGAAGTTGGGTAACTGCATGAACACCCCAGAAAAGCTGAAATCTGCAGATTCCTCTTAGATGAAGATTTGAATCTTTTAAAATGGAGACTAGTAACTGCCTGTGCTGCTCAGGGACTCTTGCAAAAAGGCTGTCGTTTCTCGGGGCTTCCATGCATTTCTCTTGTTATCAACAAAAACAAGTTCCCTCCTCCAGTGTATATTTTGGGGCTCAGAACTTGCGTCAGTGTCCCAAGTTTGTCGTTAATCTACTGCAGATATCAACCATGTTATATACAGAATAATCTCGTTTATAGTTTCTTTGGCTTCTGATTATGAAATGTACCTTAACTCACGGGTGTTAGATATGCCAAAAACCACTTTTGCCCCAAAGAAAAATAGCTGGTATCCTGTGAACACTTTACAAAAATATTTTCAATGTGCAGTAAGTACACAGTTGAAGTACATTGCTGGCTAGCTTCCAGTTCAGAAGTGGAATATAAACTTAATGGGTTTACTTTATAAAAAGTTACAAAAGTGCTACAGGTGATTTTTTGGTTTTTTTTGTTTTTTTTTTTGCAGTACGCGGACCTCTCACTGCTGTGGCCTCCCCCATTGCGGAGCACAGGCTCCGGACGCGCAGGCTCAGCGGCCATGGCTTACAGGCCCAGCCGCTCCGCGGCATGTGGGATCTTCCCGGACAGGGGCACGAACCCGCGTCCCCTGCATCGGCAGGCGGACTCTCAACCACTGCGCCACCAGGGAAGCCTGAGGTGATTTTTTTTTTTTAAAACATCAGACATTACAATGGTATATAAAGTGAAAGTCAGAATCCTTCTTTCCCCCATTCCTATCTCCCAGAAGTAATCACTGCCCACCATTTTCTCTATTTTACTATGTATATATGCGTGTATATGTGCATATACATGCACTTGTATGCACACGTGTATATATGCGCATATCATTTTTAAATACTATACATTCAATTTTGAATTTAATTCAACCAATAAATTGTATTTGGAGATAAAGATTATCTCTAATATTGCAATGCTGCCAACGATACTGCAGTAAACATTCTTATACACAAAGCTTTGTCTACTTACATCTTTCTACTCAATTAAATAATTTCCTAAAAGTGGTATGTCTGAATCAAAGGGAATGTACATTTGATGTTTTAAGTATTGCCCAAAAAAGTGATGCCCATCCACTTCCATCAACAGCATATGAATGCCAACTCTTCCTGCCTTTGTCAGCACCCTTATTTTGGTCAGTCTCACAAATGAAAAATAATGCCTTACTGTTTTAATTTTCAATTTATTTTATTACTAGTAAAATTGAGCTTTTCATAGTTTAATGTCATTTGAATTTCGTCTGTAAATTGTGATATTTTTCTCTTTTTCTATTGGGGAATCAGTGTGTTTTAAATCATTATTATTTACAGTGACCACTGATGCCATTACTTTTAATTCAGACACACAAAGACCAGTGGTCTGTAGGCCATTGGTAGATGTCTCTTAAAGCTTATGGGTATTATCACTGCCACATTGACAAAGCAAGGGAATACTCTAGAGCAGACAGCTACCAAAATAGCCAGAAGGCCCACATTGGTTCCCGAGAACTTGAAGACCTGAAGGGTACACTGCCAAGGGTATAGATACACTACCTGCAAATGCATAGAAGGTTTGGGAATCCCATCCACTGCCACACTGCCTACCCCTTTGGTGGATGTATTCAAGTTAGAAAAATAGGTGTTCTCCAAAATACCTGTCTGCTAACCTGCTATGAATCTACAGTGACTTTGAGTCAAATGCCTGGTAGCTGAGCAATGCACTGCTTGTCCAGTCATAAGTGGTAGTCCTAAAATTCTCCCTGAGGCTGGCCCATGGATCGTGGTGGAAGAAGAGTGGGCTTTGACGACCTTAGGGTTACCAGTGGGAAAGGGGTGGGTGGGGGACAGATAGATTGGGAGTTTGGGATTGACATGTACACACTATTTAAAATAGATAACCAGGGCTCCCTGGTGGTGCAGTGGTTAAGAATCCTCCTGCCAATGCAGGGGACACGGATTCGAGCCCGAGTCCAGGATGATCCCACATGCCGCGGAGCAACTAAGCCCGTGCGCTACAACTACTGAGCCTGCGCTCTAGAGCCCGCGAGCCACAACTTCTGAGCCCACATGCCACAACTACTGAAGCCCACGCGCCTAGAGCCTGTGCTCCTCAATAAGAGAAGCCACCGCAATGAGAAGCCCACGCGCCTCAACAAAGAGTTAGCCCCCGCTCGCCACAAGTAAAGAAAGCCTGCATGCAGCAATGAAGACCCAATGCAGCCAAATATAAATAAAGAAATTTTTAAAAAATCTCAACAAAAAAATAAATAATAAAAATAAAATAAAATGATAACCAACAAGGACCTACTGTATAACACAGGGAGCTTGGCTCAATATTCTGTAATAACCTAAATGGGAAAAGAATTGGAGAAAGAATGGATACTTGTACGGTATCCAATACTGAATCACTTTGCTGTATACCTGTAACTAACACATCATTGTTAATCAACTCTACTCCAATATAAAATAAAAATTAAAAAAAAGAAAAGAGTGGGCTTTGAGAAGCAAGTGATTCTGAAATTCTCACTTTTACGTTCTGTGAAAAGATAGCGTGAAATAAAGTCAAGATACATTGGCCCAACGGTAGGTGAACTGTTTCATAAAGTCTTGAATGTACATTTACATAATTAAGGAGTTTGAAACAAGGTTATGAAACGATTTTTTTCCCTGTCCCCAAATTTTAGGAGACGTTACTCTTAGCTAGAGGTACAAGTATTGTCCCTCAGGTTGCCAATCCCAGCAGGCACAGGGAGGCCACCTCAACATTTAGCTGTCACCTATGCTAACGTCTCTCTTCTTTGAACGCTTCTCTCTTAATCGTGAGTTCTAAACTTCCATTATTATTTTCTATTGTTTTTTTCAGAACATTGATATAAATATCTTGCAATAATTATAATGATTAAGATAATAATAAATAGGCACAATTTATTTAATGTCGCTTTTCATAAATTAATTTGGGAGAAAATTTGTGAATTCTGTAATTATTTTAATCTAATGTTCCTATGCCTCGGTAAAAATAAGCCTGTTTTTCCAATGCCAAATAGAGGGTCAGGCTCTTTTAAAACTGCAAAGGGAACTTGTGATTATATATCTCTCCCTTGTGAGAGAGAAGAAAGTGAAAGCCCAGTTTTAGAACTTCATGACCTTGAATTAGGCAGTGGTTTCTTAGGTGTGACACCAAAAGCGCAAGCAACCAAATAAAAAATAGATAAATTGGACATCAGATTAAAAACTTCAAGAAAGTAAAGGGACAGTCCGCAGAATGGGGGAAAATACTTGCAAAATCTGCTAAGGGCCTAGTATCCAGAACATATAAGGAACTCTTACAATCCAACAATAAACAATTAGAAATTTTAAATGGGCAAAGGATTTGAATAGACTTTTCTCCAGAAACATATATCAATAGTCAACATACAAATGAAAGGATGCTGCAAATTATTAGTCATTAGGGAAATGCAAATCCAACCCATAAAGAGACAACACTTTACACTCATTACGATGACTATTTTAAAAAAATGGAAAATAAGTGTTGGAGAGGACATGGAGAAGTGGAAGCCTTCACTTATTGCTGGTGAGAAAATGGTGCAGCATCTTTGGAGAACAGTTTGGAAACTCCTCAAAAAGTTAAACAGAGTTACCAAATGAACCAGCAATTCTACTCCTAGGTATATACCCAAGAGAATTGAAAACGTATTCACTCAAAAACTTGTGCATGAATGTTTACAGCAGTGTTTTTTATTTTCCCAAAAGTGGAAACAGTCCAGATGTCCATTCACTGATGAATGGATAAACAAAATGTAGTACATCACAGTGGAATATTATTCAGACATAAAAAAGAATGAAGTACTGACACATAGGATGAACATACCTATGTATATTCATACCACAAGGATGAACCTTGAAGTAAAAGAAGGCAGTCACAAAAACCACTTATTATATGATTACATGCATAGATAATGTCCAA